GTTTATTAAACAATATAAAATCCTATGTAGCAAGTTTTTTTTACCATGGTATTGATTTTTTTATTACTTATGCCTAAAAAATAATTTACAATGAAATAAAGGATCAAGGCTATTTATACTAATTGAAGAATGATATAGTTTTCATGAGACATTGCAAAATAGAACCAAATGTTCATATTTATTTATTTTTACGAAGTAATCTGTTACATACAATAATAGGCAAGGGAATCCATTTATAAATTAATATTATTTATTATTTTTATAATTTTAATAATAATAACAAGTAAGGAAAAAAAGAAGACATAGTAAAAATCATTTATATACAAAAGGTATTAATTTAACAATTTACTATTAATTTTAACATGCATTGTAAATAATAATAGGAAAAGGAAAGCAAAGAGCAAGTCATAGTTGAAGACTTATTCATAGCACTTCATCTGAATCTTCTGAATTTATTCGTTTTATTAGTAGTAAGTTGAATGGATTCTAAAGAAGATTGGGTGACAGGTTAATAAAGATGTCTCTGCAACTAGGAAGTTGCAACCCAAAAAAATATTGACATTTAATGCTGCAACTGCTGCAACTGCCTGTAATTGTCTGCAACCTCTGGTTGGTCAGTTATTTCAATCACTATAAAACTAAATTTATTTTTATCAAAAAAAATTTTTTAATTAATGATTTTATTTAAAAACAATAAATCACATTTTGCAGTTATGTGATTCCATTTTTGATACTAAGTCAACATAATTATAGTTGCGGTCAGTTGCAGAAAATGTGAAAACAGTTACAGATACCAACTTTAATGCAGTGGTTATGAAACTCCAAAATGTATCATCTTGTCTAATCATCTGTTAGATTTTGAGATTGCCAATATAACCTTAAAGATAGAAAAAGAAGTGTGTAATTCCAAAAATTTATTAATGTAAATTTAATCATTATTTGTGTAATAATAAAAATTATTACAGAATCAATTTTCTTTTAATTGTTCTTATGGTTTTATGATAAATGATAAAAATTTTTATTAATAAGTATATAATACTTTTTGTTAATTCTATTAATGGGATATGGGTTGGGTTGGGTTGGGCATAGGATGGGATAGGATTTTAAGGATTTGAGTATGGCATTATAATATGATAAGAAATCATCTGTGGACACATTCTCCAATTCCAGTTCTTCATAATTGTGGCATGATTGATGTTAAATAGGGTAATACAGAAAACATGTAATGTATGAACCTCTATGTATGTAACGTATGAATTTATTTCCATACATGTATGAAAA